GGACTAATTGGCAATCAAAGTGAGTCTAACTAAAATAAAATGTGTTCTTTTAAATAGGAGTATTACTTTTAAGAAGCAGCAATGATCTTATAATCAATCCATAGGCGCTGTAACCATTTGCGTTCAAATAGCAGTTTTTCGTGCGAATAGGTGATGTCAGAAGTTGGTTTTGATGTTGATGGTGACGACTCGGATCTCAAGGAGTGTCTCCTTGAAACGCTTAAGGCTGATGGCACGCTCAAACAGATACAAGTGCGCTGTTCACGAAATAATTATTTTTGGTACTAGGACCAGTTGAGTGCTGCCGTCTATGCTGCATTTTATCGCCAAACGACTCAGCCCGTCGAACGGACTCCTTCACCTTTAAGTACGCTAATATCGAAACAGAATGGTAATGAATTTTTACTAAAGGCGCACGTTTAGAAAGGCATTACCTCCGTCTCCTTGTTGGTGGATTTCTTGCAGTCTCTTGGACTCAAAAAAACTTTGAATGTCCTAATGCACGAAACAGGACTTGTAGGTTTGGCTATGGTTGCGCTTACTATCTTATTAGGGGGAATTCAAACTAGACCAAAGGGAAAATTTGATTCAGCGATATAGTTTATCATCCGTTTCTGGCAAGACTCCTATACTTCCCGCCTTATTAGATTCGTTCGCCACTCCAGCTGAGCCTCCACAATTGTCAAAGGGTTGTGTTATTTTAATTTCATTAACGTCCTGGACCTAACCTTAACTTATACATTCTTTGATTGAGCCCCAAATTAAGAATGTTTATATACTTGGTTGCATTGATGCATCTTTATATCCCAACCCAAGAAGTAAATGCTTGTACTTCGTGTCTTTTAGCTGTTGTTCTGGATCAGGAATCAGATGAGTAAGCTTTGTTACCTTTTACACCAAAAAAATATAACTAATCCATTGCAACTATGTGTTTATAACGTTATTATCCCTAGCTGGGTTCAGCTACTTGGTAGTAGTTGCATTTATGGAATGAAACCTTGACCTCAAGACCTGCTGGCTATCAAGTTCTTTCCTGTACTGGGAAATCCAAGCTTCGTTCTTGTTGCCTCTACCAATAATGTTTTTTACTCATGTCTCAAAGCTGTTGAAAGTTTTCACCTGTTGCTGCCCATAGGCGTAGGAGGTAATACTATTAACTTAAGAATTTTTCTACGTTCCGGATCAGTGCTATTCGATTTTCAGTGAATTCGACAAACCATTTCGCAATAATGGTAGTATTCCTGGAAACCTTGATAGCAATTTCTCGTCACCGTCAGGAATTCTTGTTACTCCTAAGGACCAGCGTCGTCAGCGTCGGTCTCCTCCTCATCTTGTCGAGTTCGCAAAAAAGTTAGGTGAGCATACATTTGTACACCTCGTTTCACTTCTCAACATCTCGCTGGTGATTCTACTCAGTCTGTTACATGCTTTCTTAACCTCACTAAGCGCATTTTGTATCTTGACTTTAATTTTCTTATAATATTCATTCACCTTCACAAAATATGTGCTCTTACAGCTTTCCTTAAGTTCCATTCCCAATTTACATCCCAGAGACGTTGCACTTAGGGATGTTAAGTAAATAGGACTGTGAGTACATCACTAGTAGTTCTCTTCATTCGGTAGTATTTCGTTTCGAATTTGTGGTTTGTGATTTAGATGATTTTCCGCGGGAACAAGTGGGTTGCCTTGATATTGATAGGTAAGTCTTAATTTTTTTCATACCTTTTAAGAGCATTCAAAGTTTAGTTTTATGTTAGCCTAAGTGCCATACTCCCACATCTCATTCCCGTATTAATTGATATTCAAGGTCTTTATCCTCAGGCGCCCACCAATTACAACCCAACTCTGATAATCGAGACCTGGGAAAGGAAGATAAATACGTCCCCGCGTCCAATCCCCCAGCCGATCGTAGCGTCTCGGTAGCTGATGATGCACCTTCAAGCTCGTCCACTGGTGGTCACCTACAGGAGACAAGTCGCTCTCAGAATGACATATCTCTTGGTGACCCTGCGGCTGGTGGTCCGCTTTCCTCCTCAACGACGACAAATCCCTCCACAGGTACATTCAACCCCCCGCCGCAGCTTTATCCAGACAGCGTCTCTGACGGTGACTCCGACATTGATTCAGAGGTAAGTAGCTAATTTAACAAGTTTACAAAAGAATTTCTTTGCAATTGATTTCGGCCTTGCTTGAGCCTATGGGTATTTAATTAGTAGACTTGCTTCTTTTCCCGATTTAGGCCACAGCAAGCCGCTTTCGCGCATAGTTTGACTCCCTGACGTAAGTCTCCTAGCTCCACTAACGCTTCACCCCATTTAAACTCGGCTCAGGTTTTGCATTCCCATTCGAAGTGATGCGTTGTTGGATTAAGGATCGAACTTTACTCATGACAACTCTCATACGCTTTACGATGCTGTATAGTTTTAAGTATCTTTGCCTATTCTGTGATCTCGTCCTTTCTTTGGATCGGGCTGCACGCCTTCGACTAGAATAATAATAGTCCTTAATGATGTGTACCTTCACCATGACTAGGAATTGTGTGAGTGCGTGCATCCGGGCTTCGGGGTAAACAAAATTTAGTCAGTATATTTTTGAATCGCTGTTATATATGCCCTTTTGGAGCATTTTCACTCATTGATATTAAATTTTTTTTCTCTATCGTAGGTTATTAGCGATGTAACATTGACCTCTTCAAAAGTGGACTGCGACTACATGGAGCCGGTGCGACGATACTGTTAGGTGAGTGACGCCTGGCTGTGTTTTGTTATCTTCATTGTTGTTATCCTTTCTCTTTTCTCACAGATGGTACCTCCCCCTCTGGTTGATTTTTCTTTCAGGCTGTGTCCCTTTCCTTGCTCTATCCGCTCCTCATCCCCTTATCTCTCTCCTAAATCAGAGGTTTTTCTTTTGCCAGTTGAACTGAAGTGCTTGTCTTGTTCTACTAAAAACTCGTTTCGCGTATGCCCATACTCTAATTGATGTCAAACTGTCGAAAATGATCGAGAAGACTGCGTCTACTGACGTCCCTATCATTTTTAATAAATTAAACATCTCAAGCCAATTCTCTACTTTATAGCTTGTATCACTTAAATTTTACTTTCTCGCTTGGCTATGGGGATTCCTTGTATCCATTTCGCTCACGTTCGCCTCAATTCTGGTTCTTTCTGCCAGTCGATGATGCTTCACAGTACCTACTAATGATACCGCTTTTTATTGGTTGCCGTTTCCACTTTCATCACCGGAGGAGGAGGTCCGGCAATTCCCTGACGATGTAGTAAAGGATTTGATACGTCGAAATCGTTGAGTCCATGCGAATAGATCGTGCTTGTGCATGTATTGAGGATAACTCCCGATTGCGCTAACGATAGTAGTTGGCTTATTTTATGAGAGGTGTTTTTTTTGCAAGTTAGAGGCCGCAGACCGGTGCTGACGCATTCATCAAGCAAAGTAGCTAGGTTCACTTCCATTCACACCAAGCTATATAAGAGCTGCAAGGTGTGCAGATAGGATCTCAGAATTTACCTCTTTTCGAAATCACTTTTTAAGAAAACATTGTAACTATATTATTGGATTTTCAGTAGAAATATGTTTCGTAATCTTGACCTGTGGAAGTGCGGTG